CAAAACCCACCCTGAGGCTAACCTCACCCCTCTGGTCTCCGGCCCCGCCTCCCCGGCCCCGCCCCGGCCCTCCGCTCACTCGGTTCCGCGGCGCTGCCACCAGGGGGCACGCTCCGCAGGCCGGGACCTTCCCTCCGTCTCGCCCCCGCCCCGCCGGTCCCGCCATTCACCTGACCCCTTCTCGGCTTCCACCAAGGGGCGCGACTCGGAGGGCCGGGCCTCCGTCTCCGCCGCCGACCTCCTCAGCACCGTCAGCACTGTCTCCGGCGGCAAGTCGACCAGCTCCTCCCACACCGACTCCGTGTAGAAGTCCACCGTGTGTGCATTGGAAATGGACAGGGCGTCCCTCAGGAACCCCAAGAGTCCCTGCAACTTGGCACGCAGCGTGGGCAGGTCCGGGGTCACCGGGAGAGGGCCACAAGCCGCCATGACGCTCGCCCTCCCGGGCTGTAGGTGGCGCAAACATGGCCGTGAGTCGACGGCGCAACCAAAAGTAGCACAGGCCGGATAAGTAGAGGTCCGAGCTGGGCTCTAGTTAGGCGATCGATTGCTTTAGTTTGATGACGCATTTTAGCAGCGTCCGCTGTGTTTTCCGACGACGGAATTGGTTTGTGGAGATGGCGCCTGTCAGACCCGCACAGTGGCGGCGGAAAGGGGGTTTGGGGACACGTGGCGAAGAGGATTCTTCGGTAGGATTCAGGAACAAGAATGTGAAACAGAGGATATGGCGACCCAACTATTCTCAAGCCTTCGTGGGCAGCATTCGCGAGGGTAAGTCAGAAGTTAACCATTTACGGGTCCAAACTCGCGAAGTCCTAGTGTACAGGATTCGCCAGAGCGCGAAGGAGGGATTTCAGAAACAGACCCGGTCCTTTTTGGGGCGAAAGAAACTACCCCTGAGCTCGCCGAAGCTGAGGGCGTCGTAGAGCTCTGGAAAGGAAGATAGGACAAGAGTTGGTATCTTTAGCTTTAAACCTTTCAACGACTTCCCGGACTTTACCTCATTATTTCATCAGAACTCTTTTAATCTCTCTATTATTCCTGTGGCACGAGCGGAGAATGTCTACAGGTCCTCTGAATGTATTTCGTGTGTGTATCTGAGCATGTGCTAAGGGAAAGGATAGGACAGTATTAGCTGTTAGCTTGCTGACACACATCTGTAGTCCTAGCGCTCTGGCAGGCGAGGCTGGGGGATTGCTCGAGCTCAGGAGTTAAAGACCAGTCTGAACAAGAGCACGACCCCGTCTCTACTAAAAATAGAAAAAACTAGCTGGGTGTGGGGGCGCACACCTGTAATCCCAACTACTTTGGAGGCTGAGGCGAGAGAGTCGTTTGAGCCCAGGAGTTTGAGGTTGTTGAGAGCTGTGACACAATGGCAGTCTAGCCTTGGGCAACGGGGTGAGACTCTGTCTCAAAAATAAGAAGGGAACATGCTGCCCCAGATCTTGGTGATTACCCAGTACCCCTCCACACTCCTTTTATCCTTCCTCTCCTTTGCTTTATGTTTGTTCTTTGTTTGTAAAGTCCCTCCCCACTTACATTGTATAAATGTTGACTAAGTTCAGCCTTATGTTACTGGCCGTTCAGAAAGTAATATCTATCCTCTCTTTTTCTTTTATGCTGAAGCATTTTAGAAAAATCAGTTGTAAAATATTAAATTTCTCCAAAATAGAATAATAAATGTGGTGTTTTCTGTTTTTAAGTATTATTTTTAAGAACCAGATTAAGTGTTCTTAGAAGAATGAAAGAATCTGTTTTCATTTGTGAGTATAGTTATAAACTCAGGTTGTGCAACAATCAGAACTGGTCAGGTTTTTGTTAAAATCCTTTTTACATAGTCTTTGAGATTGTCTGCATGACTAATGGTTACTGTGGTTTTTTGTAAAGGGCCAACTTGCTTTTCAGTCTATCAGCTTAAATTTGTTACTTGAAATAACCTTTTAAAGCAGAACATTAAAAAACTTAGCATCTGAATTTGATGATGTAAAATGATTTTCATTTGTAATCAGTTTTCACTAAACCTATTTTCTATAAAAATAATTGTGACTTATTGTCCTAATGTAGGACAAGGCTTTGCTTTTCAAAGAAAACTGAAGATTCAGCAAAATTACAAGAAATTATTATGGAGACAAAAGAAGACTGAAACATCACAGGAATCCCAATTCAAAGATCGATACCCAGATCATCTGAAACATCTTTATTTAGCTGAGGAGGAAAGACTCAAGAAGCAAAAAAGAAAAGTCAACCAGCCTTTGTCAGAAAAACAAGTTGACCAGCCTTTGCCTAAAGAACAGTGTAGCACTGACCAGGCTTTGTCTCAAGATCACTATAGTTTTGACCAGCCTCAGCCAGAAGAAAAACAATCTAGTAAAACAGTAAAGTATGTGTTTTCTTTTGAAATTCTTTATTTTATGAAAACATTATAGGACAATTTATCTAGGAATTGGAATTTTTCTTTTAATAAATTTTAGAAGTTAGTATAATTAAATGATCGTATTTTTGTGGAGGCTTTATTTTTAGCTTCAGTGTAAGCTAGTTTAGTTTTAATTGAAAAAGTGATGGAATAGGAATTAAGAGATCCGAGATTTGGATTTCTCCCTTTCAGTTACATGAACTTGCTTGGACCATAGTTAATACCTTCTATTATATGTTTTTTAAAAATATTTTTTAAAAGGTTTTATAAGTCTACAGCAGTGGTTCTCAACCTGTGGGTCGCAACACACAGGAACTGTATTAAAGGGCCACAGCATTAGAAAGGCTGAGAACCACTGGTCTACAGCATGGGTTCTGAGCTGGACATGACACGTTGGACATCCAATTGTCCTCTAATGGGAACAGTAGTACTATAATAAGTGTACACTTCAGGGCTACCATGTTGCACAAGTCCAGAATGAATTATCCCCATGAACTATGGGGTTCCTAAAATGTTTCAAGATACTGTTTTAAAGACAGTGTTAATTTATATGTGACTTTTACAAAAGTAAAAGATACTTGATTAGTGCTCATGAGTGTCAGCTACTACTAATACTATTTTTAAGGTGCATTTTCTGCAGAAGATTGAAAATGAATTGAAAAAACACATGGACTTTGCAAGGCCCAAGGCAGCAGGATTGCTTGAGGTCAAGATTTCAGGAGACACTTTCTCACAAAAAAAAAAAAAAAAAAACCAGAAAAATGAGCTAAATGTGGTGGCTTGTGCCTATAGTACCAGCTACTCAGGAGGCTGAGGTAGAAGGATGACTTGAGCCCAGGAATTTGAGGTTGCAGTGAGCTATGATCATGCCATTGCACTCTAGCTTGGGTGGCAAAAAGAAAAAAAAGCACAGGTCCGTAACACTTTGTTTTCTTAAGAGCTATTTTATAAAACTGTTACTGCTGTGTATACTTCAAGTAAACAACAACAACAACAAAGCTAAAATCTGAACTTAAAAGAAGCCATGTTTTATTTGGGACTGTAATTTTTTTTGCTTAACTAGAAGTTTGTCTTTTAAAATTATAAGCTATTTGTGCTAAAACCAACAGGAAATAGAACTCCAGGAAAAACATAGAGATCAAGGCAGATACACTGGAAGTTTAGTTTTTATTTAAATTAGTCTTTTTCATTATATTTAATATTAAATAAGTGCAATGTTCAGAAGAAAGGTTATCACTAGAAATGTATACTTAGTTATTCCTTGTGATAACTGAATTAAAGAAGATTAAAACATGAGACAAGAAAATAAAACATTTTTAAAGATAACTTTTTATTTTGAGGTAAAAACAGGAAAATAGTCATTGAAAGTTAATTAAACTTCTCAAAACTAAAAGAAGAGGGAAATACAGTGACAGCTAAGCTCACAGAGGAAAGTTTTGAGACGTAGGGATCAGTCAGCTATAAAGTGCAGTGTGCCCCTGTTGTTTGTCTGGGATGTGTTCTCAGGACCTCCAATGGATGCCTGAAACCTTGTACAGTGCTAAGCCCATTGCTGTCAGTCGAAACACATTGATGTTGATGTTTTCTACCTACAAATTTAATGTATTTTCCATCTTAAATCATGCACCACAGCCATAATTTTTGTTATTTGAGGCATCATGGCAAAACTAACATGGATTTCTTTTTCTTTCTTTGCAAATTCATAAATGGAAGATTTGTTCTTATTATAAATCTTAGCAACCTCAGCAAATGACTCTTTTCTCCTTAAGTAGAGAACTTTCATTTTTTTTGCTTAAAGGAAACATTGGTGTCTTCTCTTGTTACTCTTTGTGGTTTAGGGCCATTGTTAAGTAAAATAAGTGTTACTTAAACATCGTGGTGTAGTACGGTGCACAACTGTGACGGTCAGTCTGATGACTAGTAAGTGACTGATGGTATGGTAACATATACAGATTGGATATTCTGGACAAAGGAAGGATTCATACCCCAGATGGGGCAGCACAAGATTTCATCATGTTATTCAGAACAGAACAGTGTATGGTATAAAACTCTTGAATTATTTATTTCTGGAATTTTTTCATTTAATAATTTGAACCATGGCTGACTGCAGGTAACTTTAGCTATGGAAAGTGAAACTGAATAAAAGGGGAACTACTGTACTATAAAGTTCAAGGAAAACAGTACTGAGAACAGGTTTTTGCATTTGTGGACTAGGCAATCACTGGTGAATTT